TTTTCTTCAGGTTTAAGGAGAGTTTGTTTGCCTTAAACCAAGTGGATAATTTATTAAGTTCGGAATTGAGTGAGGCTGCCAGGTAGACAGGATCTTTATGTGACATAAATAAATTTGTATCATCAGCGAATAAAATCAGCTCGACGAGCGTCGATACGTTATTTAAATCATTAATATAGAGCAAGAAAAACAAGGGGCCCAAAATGGATCCCTGGGGACACCACAGCAGATAGTTTGAGGAGAGGAGCATTGACCGTTAAATTGAACGAATTGCAACCTGTTGGAGAGGTCGCTTCTAACCCAGTCCAGAGCCACGCCACGTCTACCATAGTGTTTGAGTTTGTCAAGCGGAATATTATGATTGACGGTATCAAAGGCCTTAGAAAGATCAAGGAAAACGCCAACGGCATGTTCATTGCGATCAAGAGCAAGGGAGATTTTTTCATATAGTTCAATCAATGCTAACGAAGTTGAATGATTTTTCCTGAAGCCAAATTGATCATCACATAGAATTTCTACTTTACGCTTAACATAGACGTCAACTGCTACGCCAACGACACGAACCCTAGATTGTTTGTTTGCAAGACATCGAGCTACAAGCGGTTGTTAAAGTTTCATGATCAGCGACCGACTGAGAAAGCAGAAGAAGCTAAAAAGGAAATACAAGACGCCTTTCAAGCTAGGCCAAGGGCTAAACGCTTGCTTCGACCTACAGATGGAGATCAGGAGGAAATAAGCGCATGCTTGCCGTCAACAAACCGGGCGAAGGCGTCGAGAACACTGCAATAGGGAGCTTACGAATCGATGACTTCTTTCTCGACGACGACTTTAGGTGACGTCATCTACTTTGTCGTCGCCGTTTGCCATTGCGCGCCAAATTTAGCTTACGAGTTGCGGACGTCGACGCGGAGATTTCCCGCCAAATTTAAGTCGCAGACTGACTTTTTTTTATTTAGAATAATAGTTTTATCAACGTCTTCATTAAAGTGCCGAACTTCAGAGAAAACAGAGAGTGTATCGCATATGCCCACTGAAAAGGATTTATCAACGACAGGCAGTTTCTTTTGCTGTATGATGCCAATACTTCAAAGAACCATGACTTTCCATATTGAAAGGATGATCGATTCGATTTAGACGAGCTTGGAAATGACCAGTGCAAAGCTGAATTCCGATTTTACAAAAATGACATTTTCAAGCTTGCTGAATATCTTCAGTTACCAGATGAGATTGTTACTTATAACGGCCTAGTAGTTGGATCGATTCCTGCTTTATGTATCTATCTCAAGCGCTTTACGTATCCTCGCCGTTACGGGGACATGGTTTCTCACTTTGCAAGACCTGTTCCGGAGCTTTATATTATTACAAACCACATGATTGACTGGATCTATAACCGATGGCATCACTTACTCTCAAGGTATAATCATGACCTGCTTTCCCCGGCAAATCTTATGTTGTATGCTGATGCGATATATCGATCAGGCGCAGCTTTGGAAAACTGCTGGGGGTTTATTGATGGAACAGTGCGGCCAGTGTGTAGGCCAGTAGAAAACTAGAGAGCCATCTATAATGCCATAAAAGAGCACATTCCGTAAAATTCTAATCAGTAGCGTTACCTAATAGGCTGGTTGGTCATTTATATGGTCCAGTAGAAGGAAAACGTCACGACAGTACGTGGTATGCTGGCCTTGTCTGGACTTTTACAAGACCTGCAAAGATTTTTTCTAATTCACCAGTCACTGGTTTACCTATGTGTGTGTACGGCGACCCTGCATACCCTCTTAGAGCACACTTACAGCGACCTTAAAAGGGAGCAGTGTTGACACTACATCAACAAGAATTCAACAAATCTATGAGCAGTGCCCGTGTTTCAGTTGAATGGGTTTTTAATGATATAATCAACTGTTTCAAATTTTTGGATTTTGAAAAGAACCATAAAGTTGGTTTAAGTGCTGTGGGTAAAATGTACATAGTTTGTGCCTTGATGCAAAACGTCCTCACTATTTTATATGGTTCTGTTACCTCAGAGTACTTTGGTATCAATCCACCAGTTTCAGATGATTATTTTATTTAATTATTGGCAACGATAAAATGTTAAAGGGATTACACAAGCAAGGACATACATCAGGATACATCCTCAAAATAAAACGTTTCATGATTCATCAAATTTTGGACATTAAGAAGCATTGACGAATACTGACGGCTGTGTAAAAATTCCAGTAGAGATGGTAAAAAAACCCTTCTCATTATCAAAAGCAAGCTTGCACAATTTTTGTAATACTCGTTGGAAGGTAAACAGGTTAAATTAAGGCGGCAAAGCGAAAATCTAGCTTTGTATGTATAATAAAAACAACAACAAAATGAATTCAATGTCTCTTTTTCAAGAGTTCAAGTAGTGCATGGCTTTGTTGTTGTTGTTGCTGCATAAACATTTGACACATCATCTGGAACTGCTCTTGTTGATTTTTCAACTGGTCTTGAAATTGCCTGGACATTTCTTGCTGTTGTTGAAACATCAGGTTTTGTTGAGCCAATGCCCTTTCTTCTTGTTTCTTTCTAAACTCTTTTTCTTCCTTCTTCTGCTCACATTCCTTCTCCGTTGCTTCTCTTAAATAGTCCATCGTTTCGTTTGGTGTATGTTTTCTTTTTTTCCGCGGTTGATCATCTCCGGCTCTTTTCTTTGTCTCACCAAGACGTTCAATGGCTTTGTTTCGCATTTCTTCGGCGGAAGCTTTATCTTTAGCTGTTTTATCGGAAATTTTCTCCGATTCTCTTTCTTGTTCTTCTTTTCTCTCGAGGTAATCCTCCATTATTACATCGATTTCTGATTTCTCTGGCGAAATTCCAGATGCATTTCCCTCGAATCGATCCTTCCTCTTAAAGTCTCTTTCCAGTATCTTTAGTCTGTCTCTGATCAACGTTTGTGACACATTGAAGAATGGCTCTTGTAACTGATTCAGGCTTTCAGCAATTCGGTCGAGGCAATTTCCTCTTTCACGACTTCCTAATTTGTACTTCCACAGTTCGAATAGCATAACCTCTTTTTCCAACAAGACATCGTGTTCGTTTGTCCATTTCATCGAGTTCCTGAAATAGCAGTCGATATCTAATCAAAGACAGTATATTTTAAAGGACTGAAATATCAAACTTAAACACAAATTTTCAATTGACAAAATTTTTCAGGATATCTGACTGAATCCTCGCATCGCTTGTGCTGCATCTTCTGACTACTCGAGAGCGTTGAAAGAACATTTGTTTACTATTCAAAACTGATTTATAACCAATGAATGGATAAAAACTTAGAACCTTTGAATGAAGAAGACTACTTTCTTTTACAGTTTATCTCTCTTGGCATCTGAATTGACCTTAAAACGCCAATTTTTCCTTTTATTTATTCCCTTACCGTGCGTTTGAAGGGCTTGGGTCATTCTTTTCGCAGGTTGACATCTTTCCTGTTTGATAAATAGGAACTATGGCGTGTATAACATTCAATGAAGTAAAAAGCTGTTTCAGGAAAGCTCCTGTTAGCATATTTGGAAGGTATTTGCAGATTAAGTGTTAGATTCAGCAAATATTCCGAACAAAACGTACCTTTCGACGCGTTGCTACGAAGACGACTTCAAAACCGCTCTTCTGAAGTCGTCGCCTCCTTCAAGACGACACGCGAAATAATGCCACATCTGGTAGGGCATGCGCATAAACTACTTCTAGTGTTGAGACTTCGTCGTGCTCTGGGAAGTCATCGATTCGTAAGCTCCCTAATTTAGCTCGGCCAACGTCTCCTCTACCACTTGTACTTCTTCATTTGGCAGTCCGCCACTGCTAGCTGGAGCGAACCCGCTTAGTTATGTTCGTGGCTTCCTATCACCGGTACAGGAAATCGGCCCGAATTATCGAGTGTTTCCACACGTTGGTACAACGCAAGACTTTCGTCCCCCTTTGACCTCAACCCCGTCGTGCTCGTCGGCAAACCTCAGTGGAAACAGCCGCGTGGAAACTCACAGGTGAGGCTATCCGTGCAGTATCCCAGCAAAAGCCTGAACAAAACTCTGCACGGAAGTTATCAGAAAGTTGGTAAAGCGCTAGCTTATGGGGTTCCCTCAAGGATTGCGACAGCAGTAATGAATTGCCTGCCGGTGAGAAATCACATTTTAGGAAAGGTGATGAAAGTGGTCTCAAATGAAGTAACTGGTCTGGTTCAAAAGTAAATCCTTCGATTCCCGAAAAACGGGAAAAAAGAATCTGGATAAGTTTGACGTAGAGGATGTCTGTTAGGAGTGGCGCGAGAGAGCTCCAGTGTTTTACTCCTTTCTTTTTACGTCTGCTGTGAACAAGAACACGAAAAATTTCAGGTGGTTTGGAAGCCTCGCAGTAAAACAGAGAAAGTGTGAGATGAGGGTCACTGCCGCGATTATAGGTGTTCTTCTCAAGAGTAAGGCAGCAGAGGTATGGTTTTAATTTGTTTCAATGAACTTATGCACCTATCAATGTAAACCCCGTTGGGGGGGGGGGGGATGCGGGCAAGGGGTGGGGATTTGACAAATTTTAAAATTTTTGGATCAAATTCCCCAGGGTGGGAAACAAAAGGTCAATCAAAAATGTCAAAAAAAGCCCCCACCCCAGGGGAAAAAATCTAAACAAACAGTACTATAATACTGTATAAAACGAATTAAAAGAACATTTCAAAAGTACGTCCTTACTAAACGTAAGCTCCGTTAAATTACTCGCTGAAATTAAGTATTTTCTCTCTCCACTAGCATCTCTAATTTTGAACAACAAAATCACTCTAGGAAGATTGACCGGATCAGTGACCCGTAAAGAATCCTCTAACTTTCATGGTGGAATTCGATTTCAATCGAGCTTTACAATCAGGTGGGAACTTGAAGATAAAAACTTTCTCAAAATAGACATTATGTGTTTAGATGACAGTTTAAAGTATCGGATTATGGCGATTAAAACAAATGAAAACTTCACACCTTTCTCCAACAGCACGACTTTCAGAAAGCCTCGAGGGACGGATTTGGTAACCGCTTCTGAATTGATACCAGGCTTCTGTCGGTCAAAGTCAAATGTCCCGAGCCCGGGGTTGCTTCGCACGATCAAAAGCCCGACAGGGGGATAGTCTCAGGCATCAAATCCCCGCCCCTTGCCCGCACTCCCCCCCCCCCCTTCACCACGGGATTTACATTGATAGGTGCATTACCTTTATTAAATGGGTCTAAATGCGTTCTTGGCAAAATGCAAATGTTGCTTTGCCAGATGTGATTGCTTTGGCTGCTAATTTCCTGTTTACCATCGATAAAATTTACCACTTACCTACTGTTCATTATTTTATTATTCATGTTTAATATGTTCTCGCAGAAATTCTAATTCTTCTTTAGTAATGTTATTATTAATATTATCATCATAGTATTATTATTGTTAAATTTTCGTTGTCCAAAAGCACAGCGAAAAAAAATTGTTTCTTTTTCTTTCTAATGCACATTGAAATGCTCACATAAACCTTATTGCCCTGTGACATTCCTTTTTACCCAATAGGCTATCCTTTGCAGTTTCAACAAGCTGAAGTTTACAAACTCAAACTGCCACACTTTGAGAACTCTAGATACATTGGGTGAAAACTCTGACAGCTATTTAAAACAGACGAGAGAGAGGATTACAAAGGAAAATGAAGATCTGCACCTGCTTAAAGAAGAGATCAAGAGTTTAAGTAATGTGCATTCTTCTCATCTTTCTTCTGGATCAACATGTAACTGCAGTGAAGAATTGTCTGTACTGAGGAAACAAGCATTTGAGTTGGAGAAGTCCAGTCACCCTAGTTTTGTTACTTCATTTGACAATTTGGATATTCAGTTGCAAAGGAAAAATATGTCAATGGAATCACAAAACCGGAATTACCACTGGGTAAATCACCAGATAATTGAGAACCGTGTGTCTGGGGCTCATCTCAAATCGAAAGGACCACAGGCAAACCTCGAGGAAGTTTCAAACCTCAAATTTCTTCCTATTCTCGATGACCAACAGCGACAACGGTCCAACTATATTATGCTCACATCACGGATCCTGGTTAACTACTTTGATGTTTTGGCGCCTCTGAAGGATGCATGCATCCTTCATATCTCCCACAAATAAACAAATGAGATGGCTCAGAAGTCCAAGAAGGTATTTTTTTAATGCGTAAAATTATTATCTAGTACGCCTTAACAATGTAACTACTGACCTATACCATGAACATTAACATCTATTTATGGCCAGGTGACCGTTATAAATTACAGGGTGGCCGCTTTATACAGGAACAGAAAATGTGAGGCCAAATTAAGTTTTTTGGGAATTTGTTCTGTGACCGTTATACACAGGGTGACAGCTACGTACAGGGCCCTTATACACAGGTTTGACTGTATATTAGAGAGCATGCATTCTTTTGCTTTCCTTACAATTATGTACTAGATGAACACCCCACAACACTAGGGGAGAATAACGTTGGCTTAAAGTAGGATTAGTTCATAATCATCAATTTTTCAGGAATTTTTTTTTTTTATTAATTTTTTTTTCAGGTTCCACTTGGCAACATTGTTCAAAAATGAGAATATCAATGAGGACGTGGTTTCCAGCCTGCAGCAATTCTTTTCCTACCTTCCAAAAACTGGTGATGGTGGTGTTGATGGTCAGCTATTCTCCCGTGACCAACTAACAGTCGAAAGGGCAGTTAATGTCATTTCCTCCGTAGCAAATTACTCCAGAGGATGGTTTGGAAGGCATTAACCCTCAGTTGGGTGACTGGCATGCAGCCGTGAAAATTCTCAGTTAAATTAACTTTGTCAAATGAGTGTCTTTTTTTTAAGCAAGTTTATTCTGACTGGGGTTCCTACCTCCCCAGATTGTTTTAACTCAGGCATTAAAAGATGAGAAGACTTATAATAGCAGTGATAACAATAATGAAAGACATTCTGATATTTGCTATATTAACTTATAAATTATTATTTTTATTATTGGAACTTCCCCCTATCTTTACCTGACTCCTATAAAACCAACAAATACTAATCATAAATTATTTTTTTTTCAACAGCTAATATACTCCAGACTCTTTAGTGGCAAGTCAGATTCCGATCTCTGTACACTTTTCTCAGACCGCACACTTATCAACAGGAGGAACGTAACAGGTGTCCTCATTCTTCTTACCGAGCAAACAGGGACTTTCTCCATGTCATTTTCCAGTCACTAGTGATCACAGCTGCAATTACAGTGTTGGGATTTGCTGACAAACCAAGTGCCCCAGCACACTACCCTCTACCAAAAGACATGGAGAAAATGAGAAAAGCCGAGGAACTTGAGTTCCTCCATGGCATCTCTGAAAAGGTGGTTGATTCTTTCATTTTCCAGTCGAAGAAGAAGAATTGCAAAAACTAGTGGATGGAGTTTTGACTGAAGAGGAGAAAGATATTTTGCAGCAGCAAAAACTTACTGCCAAGGGGATATTTCCCTGCAGATTCGCAGGGTGCAACAAGTCATTCCAGTACAATGGCAAAACAAGAAGGAACCATGAACCGTCCCATGATCCACCTATTCAGTTTGATGGTTCTTTGTTACTGACACAATCTTCACCTGGATGCACAGCCCCTCCAGAAGAGACCAAAGCAGGTGATGATGTGTACAACTATAACTGTGCACTTCTGACAGATTGCTTTTTATTTTTCAATTTTCTTAATGCAATTAAAGAAGGGGGTGGTGCATGGATTATGCGGCAATACAAGTACATCATGCTATATTGTAAGGCCGATGGATCACACAGCACAAAGTACGCACTAGAATGTTTGTACCAAGTTTCCTAGTGCGTAGACTGTTATCGCAAAGAGACAGTGAGCGGTTTGTTTGGAACCGCTCTGTCAACGACAGTAGTAAAAAAGGTGCTAATATCGCACTTGATGAAGACACAGAACATGACAACAATGCCATAAAGCAAGGCATTAGAAACCTTGGGCCTAATGTCACTGAGAATGCTGTTCAGAGAATAATAATATTATGCACGACGTCCAACAGCATCAGTACTGGGAAACCTTGACAATAGCATCAAACGGCAGTTGCCATCAGGTAAACATTCCCATGGAAGTCTAGAAAGGGATTTAAATGAGCTCATCAAAAGAGCATTTGAATTTAAAATATTCAGTGAAGTCGAGGCACGCAGCTACAAAATATTCAACGGCTTCCAGAGAGACAGACTTGCCAATTTGGATGTGTCTAGCTTGCACCAATGGATAAAAAAGCACAAGAAAAACATCACTTGGGGAATTAGGGCAAAAGGAACATTACCTTCCCTTGAATTTGACAAGAAACATTTGATACTTCACTGATTTTAATTAACGAGTGCAAAGGAAAGAGCTATATTTTGTATTTTTCAGCTTGTGGGCAGGTTACATTTTTGATTCCCTGACCCCTTTTAAAGCTGACAGGAATCCATACTCTCAATTTGTTGTCACTTTTGAAATCAAGATGGTTGATTTTTGGCAACACCTTCGTCTCAGGGGCTTCCTTCCTCCTTTTTACAACAAAACACTATAATCCTTAGAGGAGATTAAAAATGAAACATCCCATAAGTACTCAAGTCTCATTTTCTCCTTCGGGATAACCACCAGCTCTTCCTAATTATTGTTAATGACGATGTTGTTGTTAGGTTTGTATAATAGAATTTAAACTGTTGAACCCTCAGTTCCTTCACCCTTCTAATAGGATAAAAAATGACGTTTTTTTCCAAGGCTGTTCCAGAAATGAGTTTAAATGGTTTTGTCTTGTTGCTAAAAAGTTGGTTACAGACCCAACCAAGTTCCCTGATTGGAACTCGTCTCACTCTTCCAAATTTGGGATTTTTGTGGGTATCCTTTAAATACCCTAAAATATCCAAAAATGGGAATCCGTTATTTTTTCCTGTGTCCCCCACCTAATGACTGCATATACCTGGCAACTTGAAACCTTAGTGACAGCTTTGAGTTGTATATTTGTGATGATGGTGTACGAAAATGACACTCCAGTTTCAAAGGTAGTTCAATTTCTTGGGAATTACAAACAGGTTCTTGCTGTAATAAAGAATCGTCTATTTGGGAAAGAGACAAATTGTCTAGAATCATGTCAAATAAGTCATCATCTTGGAGAAATTCATTCCACTCATCAAGAAGCTCATCGTCAAAATCATAGTCATTCTCCTCTAAAGTAGAAGGCTCAGATAACTGCATCCCAGTAGCCACATCATTAAAAACTTTGCTGATAACTTTCAGAATCTCCCGTGCATGACACATATCCCATATCTCCACAAATCCATAAACATCTGATAAACTGAAGATTACATCCAAATTATCCAAAACTTAGGTAATTTAGTGCTCGGAGAATCCTAGCATAAATTGTAAATTTGTAAGTATCCTCACATCACCATGAGCTGTTGTGTTCAACAGTTTGATAAGAATGGTGTTGTAGTATTGAATCAGGAGACCCTCAACAGTTTTTCTCTGCTCTGCATCCACTTGCCTTTATTAATTGATGCACCATTGTTTTCTTTCTCTTGAGCACCAGGATAAGATGCAAAAGCTCCACAATCAGGCAAACCACATTTGCAATCTTCAGCACAGTTATCGCAGCAAAGATGGGGGACTTCGTGCTGCCAAGTAGTAAAGTTAAAAAGTGCTTGAGCAATTCTTTTCTCCTGTAATGATTTGTTTTCACATATTGTTTCATATGGCCATCAACATGGGCTAGAAGGATCCCATGGTGTAAAATTTACATAGCACTTTGAGTACCATCCCTGCCTGCTCTCCCAGTTTCCTAAATATAGGATTCCACATTTTTGGCAGGTCCATAGTGAATGACTCTAGCACTCCTTTCCAATCTACCCCCATTCCAAAGGCAATCGTAGCAATCAACAATCGAATAGTTCCAGTTATTGACTGGAAGGAGAGAAGAATTTTCTCTTTGTTTGCAGGTGGTGTACAAGAGTGCAGCATTTCCACAAGTGCATTGCTTGGGTCCTCATCAATTCCGCTACAAATATCCATCCCAAGCATGCCTTTGATCATTCCGTATAAAATACTGCATTGCCTGATAGTCTGGCAATATATAATCGTTCTTTCGCATAATGTGCCTTTCAATTTCAACTCTTCAACCAGCCACTCAAAATAGAACTCATGCTCAGTATCTTTTTGCATACACTGCACAATGTAAGTAACATTTGGCTTGTTTGGGCCTTCTTGGACTTCAAATGGTTTCTCCATAAGTTATTTCTTTTGACAGTTTTGTCACCGTTGCAGTCACAGTAATCATTTTTGCATTTGGTGCTAATGAGCGCAGCTCGTGAAGTCGGCCATAACACTCACGGAATGCTGCCATTTTATTGTCCTCAGATGTTCCCCTGTAATGTAAACAGATCAGTGACTTGTGAATGAAAAAAATAAATAAATAAAAATAAAAAACAACATTGATTGAATATCTGTTCAAAGTATATCATTTTTTAAGAGTTTTCCAGGAAAGGTACGTTTCCAGACATACTGAACCTACCGGTACATTGTATCTAAAATAATTTTAGCAAAGGAAAATAAATAATTACTTTTTTATGCTGCTTAAAGGCAGGATCAGTTCAAGATCAGTTTATTAGTCAGTAAATAAAATTTTACAACTTAAAAAACGGGTCTAAAATGCCGCATATTATGTAGCTTCCATATTTATTGGTAGTAAATCCATCAAAAAAACTATACAAACACCATACACCTGCATACACTGTACGCTTATGTGGGTGTGTTTCTTTGCATTTTTGCTCACATTTATATTTCAAATATAAGTGAAATTGCTTCTTTAAAAGTTTAATGTGCCAATAATGGAAATCGAAATTAAACTCGGACTTACCAGTGCCGTAAAACATGAGCTTCATCGACAGCAACAGCACAAAGTTTCCTCGAGTAGACATCATTACTCAACATCATGGCATCGCTATCCCTTGTTCATAAGCCATGCTTCAGGTGAGCCATAGAGAATTGAATATTCTCCTTTCTCTATCTTTGCACGGTCAACTTCAACGTTTGAAGAAATATTTACGGCAGACAGACCAAGACTTCTCAAATACTTCACTTGATCTTCCATCAGACTAACCAACGGAGAGTCAACAACAATAATATGACCGCTTTCATCGGAAACATGGTCAAACACGAGCGGGAGAGCTTCATATATAAACGATTTCCCGGATCCTGTAGCCAAGTTAACAAAAACATCTTCTTTCTCGACGAAAATTTTTCTAATTGCAAGCTTCCCGTAAGCATTAAGCTCGGAAATTTTGAACTTTGACGACGCTTTGCGAAACACTAATCTTCAAGCGCCGCCATTTGTCTTGTGTTGCTTCACAGGTAGCGCAAGCTCGAATTTTGCGTAACATTCAAAATATAAGGACAGTTCGTATGGGAAAAAAACCTCTCGTTTCTCTAACCTACGAAAATGAAAGGTTTTCAAAAAAAACCCGTTTACATAAAATCCCATAAAACGGCCATAAATCTGCCCGTGGACCACACAGGAGAAACGTAACACACATTTTAAGTAAGGTAAGCAGTTTTTTATTGAAAACCTTTCATTTTCGTAGGTTAGAGAAACGAGAGGTTTTTTTCCCATAAAAATCCTTATATTCTGAATGTTTATACGCAACAATGCCGATGCTCATATTTCGAGCTTGGGCTACCTTTTTATTCATTCATTCTTTATTTGCCATATATACAAGATTTTACAATTTAAGGTTGGAATAATGAGATTAAAGAAGAAGTAAATGGCGAGGAGACCTGAAAGAAACCACGAGGCTTTTAATGAGTCAGGTCTCCTCAACTTAGGATAAACTAGTCTTGATAATATAATTACAATATGGGCTTGTGATGGCTAACTTTGACCGGAAACTCACACACACACATAAACCCACACACACACACACACACATGTTAAATTAATTAATCTAATAATCTACTTAGTGCCATACTGAAGCTAATACGTACTGAGAAGGAATTCTTTAAGCTTTCTCTTAAAAGAAGCAGAGGAGGACGAACCAGTTATAGTAGAATTTAGCGAATTATAAAACTTTGGACCTTGGAAGTAACTGGAGAACTGTCTGGTGTTCGTTCTGCATAGTGGCAAGCGAAATAAGTGGGCATTCCTAGTATTATAATTATGGATTTGACTGTTTATTAGAAAGAGGTTATTGAATTTGGAAGGGAGTGTAGAGTTCTTGAGTGAAAACATAAAGAAACCTAATTGAAACGAATGGATATCATGAAGTTTTAAAAGTTTAAGCTCCTTAAAGATGGGACTAGTGTTGGCATCGTAGGTAGAGTTGTTATCTGTGGTTGCTTGTGATGCTTTTCCACATGAAGATCGCAATAAAAAACGATATCTGATTGGACGAGTCTCAAACGGTGAGTCTGGCGCGAAAAGGTTCCTAAAAATGGAACCCGAGCTGTGATTGGCCAATTCGGAGAAAGGAATGTAGTTCGGATGTCAGCAGCCGTTCTTTTGGGGGAGCGTTGGGTGACATCCAAAAAACGGCTGCGAGGGAGACTAGCGTAGCAAGCGTTTCCAGTCGAGTTATAGCGCGAAAGTTAGAGCGGGAGCAAAAAAAAATGGAAGCGGGAGGGGGAGGGGAGAAGAGGACAAGCTTGCCTGCAAACCCCGCCATTCTGGAAAACGCCCCTTGATATAGAACGGTTCGGTTCATTTGTAAATTGACAATTTGTCAAGATAGATAAAGAATAGATTACCAGATTTGAAAAATTTACTTTGTTCCCTAAAACACGCTACACGCGATTGCAAAACTGTAATAAAAAGAAGCTTTACGATAAAAGAAGGTTGAAACCCAAGCCATTGCTGCGGAATTTCTTATGTGTTATGTGGCTTTATCTCATCTGAAACCTTGTCAAAACGTCCCAAAGAAATGATTTGTCCGGAACAATTCACTCCGCCGACTATGAGTTTTGCAGACTGAGCTGCACTCCATAGGCCAGCCAGTGTCGTAAAGTTCACAACAATACATGCCGCTCAATTTCCAATCACTTGTCCATGGCGGCTCTAGCTAGTGTCTAGTGCTCGATGTTCTGATTTAGGTTGATGTTATCTCCAACAAACAGTCTATTTTTTCCAGTCAGATACGCACGCCGTCATTCCCAATAAATTGGCCTGCACTAGTCTCTACTGCTCGATCTCCAATTATACTTTTGATCGAGGGGACTCAGATCTGATAAACCATCGGACCAACATGATTCAAATAAATATCACACCAAAGCATTTGTAAGCTGCGACCACAAATCATATCAGACCAGATCTGCGACGCACGTAAACAAAACTTACCTGGTTTGATTGATGTATTGATTGCTAATGAATCAACACTACCAGCAGCGCACCAATCAAAAGCTGCGTTCGTGGGCGAACGCAGTTATTCAAAATCGTAATGTACGTTCCTTAGTCCATTGTAAAATTTAACGACGACCAAAGTAAAATTGGGTTGATTTCTTTCATGAAAAAAGTGTAGCAGATCGTGGATCATGGACAAAACGTCAGGGTGAGCGATCTCAGGCTTAACCTGTCGGCAACGAATCAAAATATCGTTTGGCCGCTGTCCGTGTAAACGTTATGTAGAACAATCGCTATTATTCTCTTTATTTTTTAAAAAAGATAATCTTCAATGTCTGCATGTTAATGGATGCTCTTACATTTAGATGAGTGACCATGATTTCTGACTATTTACAAAGCGAGACTGTTGCAGATTTGTTATATGTCACCTACTTTTGTAACGTGTACGCGTAGATACTAATAAAGTATCAGTTGCATTTTGACTTTCTAGTGGTTTTTACTCCGCTACCAAGGCCTTGTCAACTCTTCTACCATGTCTCATGATTATTGCATTATTGAAGTCTGCATTTCTTTTTTTTGTTCTAACGAGTGGTAGGCCACCACCGGTAACAACATTCTTTGTCTTTTCGAAGCCACCTTGCAGCGAAGATCGTGATTCGGGAATTTTCTGCACCGCTGAAACAGCGCTGTTTATCGCTGTCAAAGGGCTTTCCACTGCAGCGCGAAACAGCCAAAATTTGCTACTGCTGCAGCCAGCCCTTTTACAGGTCTTTTGTAACGCTTCTTGAAGTCATTCTGCAGCGCTGCTCGTTTCGTACGGGAAGTAATATCAATAATGTATAATTAAAATGCTCATTAACAAGGATCAGCTTCCGGCAAATATAAGAAGATCCAGGGTTCCTTTGAAAATCGTCAAAAGCAATATACACGGGCTAATAACACGGACAAATACTTAATCTTACTTGTTTCATATCCAACACATCCTTAAGCCCTTGACTTTCGACTATATGTTTCTGATAAATAAACAAAAATGGAACTATGAAGAATTAACTTAACACTATTCATGCATGCAAGCGGTAAAAATGCAAATTCAAATAGAAGTGAGTTTTTTCCATCTTAATAGAATATTTAATGATCTTTTTACACATTTAAGAGACCCAACATCTTTTTTTCACTCTATCAACTGATTTCGCGTGAATGTGGATAAAAAGGTAGGCTTAATTATATGCTTGGAGGCTTACGTTGTTTACAACGTAAACTTTTAAGTTTATTCATTTATCACCAATCACTTGGACACAAACTACATAAAATCGTCCATGGCCTAAACACTTAAGTCTTATATACAGAATGCTTTTCCAAGTTCACTAAGAGCATATTTGCTTAATTAATGTGCGGCAAACCAAGAAATCTGACTTTCAAATTCTAAGCAATGGGTTCTCTCGAACCGACAACACTTAGGCTAAAGCTTAAGTGTATATAAACTTACAAATTGGTATCGATGTACGTAAAATCCCATCGGTAGCCAATTCACACTGCTATTTCAAATCAGAAACGTTCTAATAACAGATAACGAACACCAGAAGTGATGAATCAGAATTTGTTGAGATGGCGATGAATCATGTAGCGAAAATCGCACATCCAATAACATCTGATGTATTGAAGCTCCATTGTTATTTCAAACTGGAAAGTTAAGATGCTCTTGAACAGAAGACCACTTTCAATGTCACTGTTGGTGAGAATGTTCAGATTATAAAACAAACGCTTCAGACGCTTTAAGATCAACTAATAAGCTTAATAACCTGCAAGAACGAAACGTATAAACTTTATGTTCAACGTTAAAGGTAATTGTTACTTACATCGCACGTCCAACTTCACTCCAGGACTTTGTGTAAAGCCTCTAGCATTTTGCAAAGTTAAGGTATAGGAGGGGTTCGAATCGTTTCGACGCACGGCAAGAAACGTGAAGGACGCATACGACGAATGCGTTACATTGAAGTCCACTTTTACTCGGTCTTGAAAACCATTTTCAAAGGATAGCTGCGATGTAAAAAACTGCTGCACAATACGAAAAATGCCTTGTTTCGTGAATATCATCTGTTGAAACGACTGTCCCTGAAGATCGTACGTCCATTTGAAAGTGACAAGTTCACCTTCCACGGGAGTCAAAGGACTTACAACTTCTCGTCTTATTATGGGAGTCTGTGTTTCTATGAAAATAATACAGTTCACGTAAGTTTTACTTCCTTTGTGTCGCTTCGCCTTGTTCGCTAACTGTTTACTTGAGCTTTATAATTTTCACCAAGGAAACAAATTCAACCCTTAAATAAGCTTACCTGCATCACGGAAAAACAGCAACAGCAAAAAGGTCTGAAACATTGAAAAACTCATCCTCCTTTCCGTGCTCTATGCAGCGGGCGCGATAGCATTGCATCAGGGCGGATAAAGCTTGGGCGGTGAAACGAGCCCTCCGCTCTTCATTCAATTTGTGATTCGGAGTAGGACTGGCACGAGCGCTCTTTCCGCGCTTCCGGTAAGCTTGAAGGCGGGTGAAATTTTCCATTTTGCAAACCGGAAATCCTATTTTCTTTCTGTAATTTCAGGCTACAATGTTAAATAGATAAATTTGTTTCATAACAATATTAATAAACAGTTCCATATGTTAATTTTTGTATGTCTAAAAGTCAAACTTGTTGGTCGTGTAATGCCAAAATTTGAGTTTAATTTGAAAGTATTGAATGCCTCCTCTTTCTGCTAAATATCACCTAATCATCTTTCGCCGTTTCGTTTGCAAAAGCTTAACACTTCTTAACCGTAATTTTTACAGATGTTAAAAGGGGATAAATTTTACATAACATAACAAAAAATTAGCTTGGTTTATTTTGATATAGTGGGGTCGTAACACTTCAAACATTGCCTCTCGGGAGCAATGCGCCATGGCAACTGGCGCAATGTGTTGCAAATCCCGCAACCGCATGTAA